TCCCTTTTTTTTTTTTTTAGAGTTTACTTAAATCTTGCTTCACGTCGACCGTGTTACGAGAAAGAAATGATGTTGAGGGTTAAATTAGTTTTTTTTTTTTGATTTTTTTTTTTTTTTTTTATCTCCAAAAAAGGGAAAATTTTGTATATTTTTTCACTATTAATACCAAATTATGGTTCTATATTATATACATAGTCGGATAAATTCCTTTATAAAATATTATCAACATTTTATTTAGATTAGTAACAATCTCTTCATTTTTTACATGACAGATGAATTCAATGGGTTGATCTATTTGCATATAAATGATCTAATCTCAATTTGAGTGATTCTGATTAACATAATACTCAGTTCCTATGTGTAAAACTCGTGTTTAAAACATTTTAACACTGAGGTATTACTCTAGTTCCTTCTACAAATAGTATTAGCCAATTTTTTTTTTTTTCTTTGATTCTAGGATGAAAAAAAAAAAAATCGTAAATTTATTGTAATAAATACTTTGTACGGTTATTTTTATATATGAATATTAGAAAGGAGAATGTTTCTTGAATAGCTCTAATTCTTTAATATATACCCTCTCTTGAGTATTATCTCAAGATATACAAGTATTAAATAAAGTAGAAATGAAAACTAAAAATTAAATATTATTAATCCAAAAGTACATTATGATACACGAAAAGTATGTTGTGAAGGAAATGTCCGTGCTGATTCACATGATGTCGGATATACTTTAATTGGAATGGAACAATCAAAAGTTTCAACATTAACATCTTCAACCGCTTGAAAATAATGATGACGTTCATCCGCATTAAGCGGCATTAACGGATAGTCGTTCTTAGATCCTGTAATGAATTCCAATCGTAAACTCCACTGAAGTTTCACTATTAATCAATAACGAATGATGATTATCAACAACGAATGATGATTATTAACAACGAATGATGATTATCAACAACGAATGATGATTATCAACAACGAATGATGATTATCAACAACAAATGATTATTTACCTCCTGTTGTCGCAAAATCTGGCGTACAATTGGTTGGTATGGAAATAGCAAAACTTATACGTGATGCATTCAGACAAAATTCATGGTGTTCACCATGTATTTTACGCGTCAATCGCGATATTTGTTGTTGCGGTCGATTTGCTACAGAAGATTCAACCAATTCACTATTCTCCAATGTGATAGATACCTATCATGAAAATTTTTATCATTGAATTAAAAAAGAATTTCCTTATTTGAGATATAAAGATATAAAAAATTCAAACCTGATAACTAGGTATAATAGCATCATTAAAGTTTAGTGTTCCCGTTACAATATCTCCTAATCGATATAGTGTCTTTAAAAGACATAATTGTGCCACTCGTTGATTATTTTTACAAATATCAAAATTTACTAAAAATTCAAAAATAATCAAATATGTGTGGGCATTTATCACGTGATAAAGTTGTATCAGAAAGTACCTTTCCGTGCATTCTTTGATATAATAGTTGCCGTATTGGTAAGAGAGTTTACATATTTCTCCACGAAAACATAATTATCGCTATCTCTCTTTCCATCTCTTTTATTGTCAATGTCTAAATCCGCACCATCAGAGCATTGAACAAGTTTTGTCACATAATCTATGAATTCTTCACGCTTATTGTCTAAATTGACATTCATTCGTAAGCAATAAAAAACATGAAAAACAAAAATAGATACTCCAAAAATACTAATAATAATAATAATAACCTCGCTTTTTTGCTGGTGATGATAGCCTTTTATTATCTTCTTTGCATTTTATCATAGCTTCGTCTTTGTAAATAATAACAGGATTCATCAAATCATAAACAGGTCTAGAACCATCATCTATAAATCATATGTAAGAAAATCATATAGTTATATAATAAATTTTCCAAAATTACAAATAATAAAATTTACCAGAGACAAAATTGAATACACGGAAAGGTAACTGAACTATATGTGATTGTTGATTCAACCCGCCTCGATGAGTTCCTATTATCAAATTATAATTAAACCGAATTGCTTTACCACGGTGAGTCGGGGGTAAATCAGTCGGTAGCCTAGTCTCATATGTGTCTAATCATAAAGAAAAGTACTTTAATAGATTTACTTTAATATATTTAATAAGCTCAATAAGAAAGGTGAACTTACAAGTTCGACTCTCTCCTGGCATCAAATGTAAATCACAAAACAATATTGATGGTGGTGTTGAAAATACAGGTATAGATTTACTATCTAAATAAAAAAGGTTAGAATAATAAGTTTGTAATTTGAAAAAAATAATATTTTAATGAATATTTATTATAAAACATACCCGCTCGTTCTTGGAGATCTTGTAAGCTTGAAGGATGTATAGAATTTTGAGTGAATACTCCTAATGTTCCACCACCTACGGCTCCCCCAGCACCACTCCCACTAGCTGGTCGATACATTGTCTTTGTTTTCAATGGTTCAAATTCGATAGACTTTACTAAAGATCCATCTACCATAAATTGCCCAACTATCTGTGCAAAACCCCATAATAATGTTTCATATTTTTGACTAAGAGTAGGTGAAGAATTACATCGCCCACTTCCAATTGAAGAACGACCACTACCACTACTATTTCTTTTATAATCATTTAATGAACCACTCCAACTATTACTACTTCTGTCGTCAGAATATCCAAGTACATAAAAATCTGCAGAACTTCGTGGAGAAGATTCAGAAGTATCATAATCACTAACTGAAACGCTGTCACAACCATCTGCTTGTTTTAAATTAATTAGCCCACCATCATCATAAGTTTCTTCTTCTATGTAAGTAAACGGCGAAGCCGTTGAATGAACATCATTGTCTTAAAAAAGATATTATAAGAATATTAGCAAAATAACAATTAATCCACAATAAGAAACAAATCGAATCATAAAATTCGTATTACTATTTGTTTTTTCAATATAATCATTATTTCGTACTGGTGATAACGGTGGCTGCGATTCTCCACTGCCCAAAGAAAATAAAGAGAGTGTTGAAGATGCAAACGCAGTTAGTGTCGATCTCTTGACCAAGTTACGAAACCCAAACATTCCCGAATCGCCAAGATCTCCAGCTAGGCTATTTTGAATCGAAGGGTTCTCTACTATTGCTGACAAGGGATTTCCATTTGAAACCTGCCTAGGCGAAAGTTTCCTGCCTGGTGATTTTGGTTCCTGATAAGATTTTGTGTGGCTTATGAAACCATTTTTACTTGCTAGGCTTTGTAATTTATCGTTTGCGAACTTTTCGACCGTAGGAAGTAGGTATTCAAAAGTAATTTCGCACCGAAATCGTTCGTCAGAGAAAAAAACAGCGTTTTGGGCAATTTTGGCCGTGACAACGATAGACATTCTGCGATCTTTAAAATTATATAGTAGTATCAGTTGATATTATTCTTTGCTTTGTAATTTAGTGTTTCTTTTTTATTTCTCGTCATTTGTTGTCTACATTAAATATCGCAAAATATCGCCTTGTATTTTTATAATTAATTAATTAAAGCGAATTCTAAACTGCATTTGGGTCTAATTCAAGAATTTTTTTTTTTATTACTTAACTTAATTGTTACCCCCCTTTTATTACAAGTTTATAACATCGCGTAATTTGTGTAACATCATAATTTTCGAGTTATTTTATTCTTGTACCCAATTCATTAATTCATTATTAATTCAACAATTTTTTAACGCATTTCAGTCAGCCACAGAGTTTACCATCGTTTTATTTGTTTTTTATTTCCACGACGAAAAAAATCCTTGCGCTTTTCTTGGCAATATTAGTTATTGGTGTTATAATAAAGCGTGCAAAAGAGAGGTGAAGTCAAGGTCATTATTAGCATTAGATCGATATATTCCCGTTGGTTTCCTTTAGATGAATCTATTCCTTTTTTATATGTATAAGCCGTCTAGTAAATCTGAGAGTCAGAGGTGTTACTCATCAAGATGATATTAGTACATTGAGTTTAATTGGTTCATTGCCGAAGAAATATATAGTTTAAGAAATAGAATTATAATCGTTATCATTATGAGAGTAAATTACTTTCCCTTATCTGTTATCATTATATTATTTTTCACTTTATCATAAATCTTGGAAAAGAAATGGATGAAATCATCTTTGTCATTGATACTGGCTGAACTCGAGCTTGCTTAGTCAATTGAGTTACCCTGATCATGTACCTGTTTTTCCTGGACATTTAATTAATATATAAGGCTAGTGCAGTACAATATTATTGGTTGAAAAATCTCTTCTTAATTAAATCTAACTGAAAAATATTGATAAATATATATTTGATATAAAGGCAATTTTCAGTTAGTTACATAGTTAAAATCGTACATATATTCTCAAGTGGGGAAAATTCCATCTTTGCCGGGGACAGTAGAATAATAGTCCATACCATTACAGGACTTACTCTAGTTATAGCTATATCTGTATAGCCGACAGCAGGATTACAGAATACGTATCAGTATGGGTGACCAGAATTGTACTTATTCTAAACACCACACTAATCTGCTATAATTCCTAATCCTAATCCTAACATATAATATGTACGTACGTACCAGATCAGTATTTTAAATTTGGTACGTACGTACGTACGTATTTTTACACCCCCATACCAGACATATATTCGTATTACCTACCGACAGTTGGTTGTAACGGATACATCTTTTTTTAAAAAATTTACATTTAGACAGCATGATAAAACGTTTTATTTGCTGATCAACAAAAACTCTGACCAAAATTAAAGATTAACTTACTTCGATTGCATGAATTCGAATTATTTTTCGAAAAAAAAAAAAAATTATTTTTTTTTTTATTAATTAACTATATATTACAGATTACTCTCTAAATGTTACAAATACATAGTCGTATTAAATATCATGCATGTTCGCATTGTCAGGATTGCTTCCAATAAAAGTTGATAGAACACACATCCACTCGATCCCACTTGTTTATCGTTAGATGAAATTAAAAGAATCCGGAAAATCTTTGGTGGCTTTGATAGTAAAAATTCAATATACAGTATCTATTTTGGATAAAAATTTTCTATTGTATATATATAAAATAAAAAACTTGTCAAATTTTTGATTTGCATTGACTAAATATTTGTTTTGTTATACATATTTGCCGTATTATTTTACAGTAAAATTTTTGTATGTTTAGCTTTCGTATAACGTTCAAATCAAGCAAGATCAAGTTAGAACAAGTGCTCCAACCTTTTATTAGAAGCGATTCAAAAATGTAATATTATCGAACGTTAAGGAGAAATGAACTCCACGTGAATTTAAAATCACGTGAGTGAAGTCATACCTGCTTCCCATCTAGTTTCTCGATATGCTGTATTACCATAGATAGCTTAAAAAAAAAAAAAAAAAATCTACATACGTACCACTATCGATTTCACATTCATCGAAATTAGAACGTAAAACAACAATTATGCTAGGAGTCATGCGTCAAGCTACTCAAACACGATCTAAGTGTTTGCTTATGTCCTCACCGAGACAAAGAATAACTCAAATTGTAAAGGTTCCTTTAATAATTTATTTATATTGTTTCGGGCCCTTTGCTAAAAAATAAAAAAAAAATTTGTTAGATAATGTATTTTTAAATACAACATGCGAAAAACAGAGGTTTGCAAGTAACGAAAAGGCTGCGAAACCGACACCTACTACGAATAATGTTGACAAT